AAAATTAAAGAATTTGATTTAAAAAAATGGATCACATAAAAAAATGGATCACATTAGTCAAAACCGAAAAGCGGAAAATTTTAAATCAAGTTGAAAATTGTGCATTTTTTAAAAAGAAAATTGACGTGTTCGAGCCAAAACAAAATATTTTTAGTTTTAATAAGATTATTCCATAATTTTGCCGCTCAGAGTGTATATTTTTATTGTAATTTTTGACAGATGAGTTGAGATTTTTTTTTTTCTATTTTGGGTCTGAAAGATGCTATTTCAACACCAGTTTGGGTGCTGAAATAGACTAGTACAATTCACTTCCTAGAGGTTGGTTATGGTAATTTTCAGCGACTTCTTTTATTTCAGGTGGTGTACATAAAATATTTGCAGTATTCATTCTTAATTCAACAAGTTGAAAAATATTCGAGACTTGACACTTCGAAAATTGAATTTTTCAAACTTTGTGACATTTATAACCAACCACCACCTTATTAGGGCAAAAAAAAGTTCCTAAATATTGAAAAATTGACTTTTATGTTAGAAAAGAACGCGTTCTTTAATGTAATAATCTGCTTGAGAAGTAGGTAACTGACCACTTTCCTTTCTGAAATTAGGATGGAAAAATTTACTTTTTCTGTTAGGGTCGTAAGAAAAGACATTTGTTTGGAATAATTTATGAATAACAATAAATCAGTGAAAATTACAGTCACATTTAATTTTGTTTTATTTGCATTAATTTATGTTTACTCCGCTAACTCTGACGCCAAATTTTAAAAAACAAAACCGTTACAAGGTCCTAAAGCTAAAAAAATAGTTTTTTACAAGTTTTTTTACACACATTTTGGTTGATAAAAACTAAGAATTTACTATTTTTTACTATTATTATGACTATTATGAGCATGTTCAGTACAACAGCTAAAATTTTAAAGCTCGTTTCTAAAGTATATTAAAACAGTTAAAACTTTCAAAGCATTTTAACCTGTTTTTTTTTCATGATACCAGGAACATGAAAAAAATGTTAAAAAAACCTTATCTATAGAATTTTAAAATTATGGAGGTTTAGATTTTGTACTTTGACCCTATTTATTTCTCTTGGAAAAATAATTTTACATGAGACTATTAGAAAAGGAGACAAAGAAGTTGTTTCCTGTACAATAAATTGTAACTATGTTTAACGTTATTTGTAGCTTTTATTGACGAAGTTTTTGTACCTTTACTGAATAATTATGAAAAAACATACTTATACAAGATCATCGGTAGCAATAGACATAAAAAATGTTAAATGTCAAAAATGTTTGACAGATTCAATTTTTCAAACATTTTTTTTTTATTTTCTGCTGGTATCTTATCTCCTTTAGAATTTTTTTATGTTTTTATATAACACCCAGTATAACAAATAAAAAAAAAAGGAATTTGACAAGCCTTAAAATTACTTTTAATAATTGTTAACATAAGAATTTGTACCGGGTGCGGCATCGGTTACGTCCATTGATAACTCGCGACTTCTAATTAATTAAAACTCTCGAAATTTCATATACCTAACTAATATTGATTTTTGACTTGGTTATCCAAATAATCGCTTTTTTATTTAAACACAAACCAGACCCGTGATTTATATAATTTGCCAACAAAAAAATCATTTACTGGTAGCCGACCGCTTTAAAGGGTCTTTTTGTTGTAAACCTTGGAATCTTACCCCAATTGCAGTTCCCCACTGTCACCTAAATTTACGATGGCACAAGTAGCAGGTCATAAATAAAAATGATTTTCAACGTTAAGATGGAAAATTGCGTTTAATTCAAAATCTACAATCCTACAATTGTAGGAAGTGAATCTGCGTAGGTCAGTATAAAAATTGTAATTAAATTTTTTGGGAGAAAATTACTTTTTATTGTTTTTGGCTTTGTTTGTAAATGAAAAATTACCAAAAAATTAGAGAATGTACCTTACTAATGCCCAGATAAGTGTGAAAAAATTCAACAATTTTATTTAATTAGAAGTGAAGATTTTCTTTCTGGGTGTAACGGATGCCGCACCCGGTATGTGTATTTCAAATTTGTAATAAAAATTCCTTATATTTATTAAGATTTATTTCTGTACTAACATATCTACGCTCTTTATTCATTTTTTGGTTTTCTTTTCCGGCGGCTCCTCCAACGGCGCCTTCCCCTTAGCTACAACCTCCGGTTGCGTCTTCGCATACGCCGGCGTAATCCAATATGGATTTTCCGCCGCTTCCTTTGCATACTTCAAAATCGCCTCTCTCGGATCCTGATCATCGTCCACTCTCTTACTCAGCCCCAAATTCCTGATCACATAACTACTCAACGTGCCGCCACTAGACGCCACACGCCCCCCTTGCCCGGAAGTGATCGGCAAATCCGGTCGTCGCGACTTAACCGGATCCAACCGGTCCTTCTCCATCTGCTTCCGACTCGTCTTCCTCCTCTCCTGTCTGAAAAGCGGCAACGCATGTGGGGTTATAACCTGCTGCGAACTCACAATCTCCGAATGCTGGGCCTTGCGGTGGACTTTAACCGCGCAGAGAGTGGCCCCTCGGAGACTCTTCTTCTGGTCGTAGAAACACTTAATCATCCCGTTGCCAGTCCCCACGAAAATCTGATTCAGTTTCGGGTGCCACAAAAGCTTGATTGTGTGAGAATTCGTGATGAGGATTTTGTGAATTTGAGTGAAATTTGTCGAGTCGTAGAAGTAGATATAACCGGAGGTTTCGTTCTTCCGGAGTGACACTCCGGTGGCCACGATGGCGTCGTTGGGGCTAAAAATCGCATCGGTTGTGTCATATCGAGTGAACAAATCGCCGACTTCGAAAAGCGATTTTTTGAAATTTCGCACATCCCACAACTTCATGGTTTCGTCGCAACTCCGGGTTAGTAAATTATTACCAACGTTGGAAAACCGAATACTTGTCACTTCCCCCGGAAGATGGGCCTTCCGGATTTGACTCGCGGGGGCTACTGAACTTTTACGAAAGTCCCACAACTGAAGCGACCCATCTACACACCCACACGCTATAACTTTACCATCGCGTCCATAAGTCACCGCCGTGGGTGACACCTTTAGCCCATTTTGGGCCCGACATTTGATTATACTCTTGTGGTTTTTGCCCCCTTCGTAGAAATCCCAGGTTCGGACTGTCCCATCAGCACTCGTCGTTAGAAACTCCTCTTTTATGAGGGGGTTCCAACAGCCGGCGAGAAGCCCGGCCGTGTGCCCCTTCGTCTGCGCTTGATCGGTTATGTACATGTCCCCCTTGACGGTCTCCAATTGCTCGAATCCGTCCCTGTCTAAGACTTTGGCCTGGCTGGCCCCCGAAATCACCAGGAGTAAATCCCCGGTTCCGGAATAATTCAAGTATCTGATTGGATGGTTTTCGGCCGGTTGGAGAGTCCTAAAACTACGCATACTTGAATCCATTCCAGCGAAGTCCCAGAAACTGACGTCGTAGTCGACGGAGCCCGACGCGAGACGGGCCCCACTGGGGTCTACGCTGACAGCAGTCACAGCTTTGTTTCCGTGGGTCATAATAACTTCACTTGTGCAAGGAATGAAGAGTTTATTGGGTTCTTCCTCCTCCTCGCTGTCGCTTGATTGGGATTTGGAAGGCTGGGAGGAGGCTGCGGGGTTCAAATCCGGCGGAATTGGGGGGCCTATTAAGTCATCTTCGGAGTCTGAATCTGAATCTTCTGAAGCTTCATCTTGCTGCTCTTCAGGGGGTTTAGTTATTTCACGAGCAGTGGCTTTGACTTGTTCCATCATTTCCTATTAACTCAAAAAATACATCAAACTATAAAAAATTAAATTCTTACTTGGACATCAAAATTTTTGGCCTTTTTGCCAAAGGAACTGATTCCCATGACTTCCTTAATTTGCTCTCTTTCCTTGCTGTCGTCTTCGAGGAGTTCCATTGCTTTGGGGGGTCCGAAAGTACCGATACTACCACTAGCTTCAATTTTTTCCGCATTTTCACCGAAATTGGTGCTGATTTTACCAAAACTGATCTTTCCCTTGTTCATTTTCGCAAATTAACACATTTTTCACGGTTTGAAATTCGATTGTATTTTAGGTTATGTTTTGACAGTTGACACACCAATATTGTCCGGATTTGAAAACATTCGTTAATAATTTGCAATAAAAAATTAAAAAACCAAATTTTTTCTCGAGGTTTGGCATATAATCGATTATTATTTTTGCAATATAGCGACATCTATTAAAAAGTTGATTTAAACATACAAGATTTTTTTGTATTTATGACCAATTTGTTGCATCATAATCCGCACCGCGAGAGTATAGTATTTTTTAGGTTATGTTTTTATACACATTTCAGTTGAAATCTCATTTTCTCCACAAACAAGCGAAAATATGGCGATAAACCTCGATATAAGACTGAAACGAGCCGATAAAGTCTACCGCGAAGACGTAAAATGCTTAAATCTTGTAAATGCCCCCTAAAGTTAGCCCCCTTTTAGGAGAACATCACAGGGGTCATAGCATTAAGCAGCACCTCAGACTTGAAACACGATGGAATAACACTCACAGTTGAAGGCTGTGTAAATTTGCAACTCAGCTCAAAAAATGTGGGCATTATTGATGCCTTCTACAACTCAGTCAAAGTAACCTAAATTTGGGCAACCCCAAACACCTAAACCTATTTTGTAGCCCATACAACTCATAGGAGTCACGTGTGAAGTGAGTGGTTCAGGTCGTCTTCCCGCAGGGGCAACAGAAATCCCGTTCGAAATCCCCCTGAAACCCAAACCTAATCGCGTCCTGTATGAAACCTATCATGGAGTTTATATCAACATCAGCTATGCAATACGATGCGACATTCGACGTTCTTTTTTATCGAAAGATTTGCAAAAAAGCCAACAATTTCTAGTGCAATATTGGTCAGGGCGGAATCCCGGGCCCCCACCACATATCAAAGACAACAAGAAACCTGTGCAGTTTAAGTTGAGCCCCACTACTTTAGCATCAGGGGGGCCAGGTATCTCTCATTGTCGATATGATTGTCTTGCTTATTAACGAGTTACAGGTGCCCCAGATTTTTTACTAAAAGGCCAACTCAATTCGATTTGCTGCAGCATAAATCGACCTCTTACTGGTCATTTAGTCATGGAGAGGTGTGCAACCCCTGTGAGGTCAATCGAGTTGCAGTTGGTCAGAGTGGAGACTTGTGGCTGTGCTGAGGGGTATGCTAGGGAGGCGACAGAGATACAAAATATTCAAATTGGCGATGGCGACATTCCCACAAATGTTGACATTCCTATCTATATGGTGTTTCCAAGACTGTTTACGTGTCCAACTTTGATTACCCCCAATTTTAAAATAGGTAAAAATTTTCTTTGATCAGTTTTTTTTTCTTAATTTCGTGTTGTAGAGTTTGAAATCAATTTAGTAATCGTATTCCACGACGACCATTTAGTCACAAACAACTTCCCATTGATTTTAGTGAGAGAATAGCATACAAAAATCATTTTATTCATTAATTAATAGAATACAAAAAATATATGTACATAAAATTAGGATTCAGCGACTGCAAGAGCCAAATTCGAAACTATAGAATCTAATTGTTTTTCTATTGCCAAAATATGTCCTGTATTACAAGTATCACTAGCAATAAATGTTACAATAAGTGGAAGTTTATTCATTTGTATAACTTGGTATTGGGAGTAGACACAAATCAGGGTGTTTGTTTTTCCTAATCCTAATTTACTTCCTTGGTCCACAGCAAGTCCAAATGTTGAAATAAAGTTAGGCCTCATTGCGTGTTCTGGGGCCTTATCTGTATTAACTTTGAGTAAATGGACACCATCACGGTCGGTGATTACGACGCCATACAAGCCGGAAACCTTCGATAGAAGCTCCTGAAGGTTGTTTTTCACTTCTTCGACCATTATTTTCAAGAATATTAAATTTTATTAAAACATAAACAGCTGATTGTGACAGTTTTTTGACAATAGACAGATATGTCAAACTAATAATTACGAAAATATAGATTGACAAAAAATTTATTAATTATTTGAGTAATGTTGGTTAAAACAAGTTGATCAGCATGTAATATTTCACTCAATAAATGTTTTATTTATGTCCGAATTTTTTCTTGGGCCGTGTTTGACTTAAATTTTTTGTCCCTTGTCCAGCGTTCACTTTTTGTTACGTCATTAGTTACTGTTTTTGTTTGTACGGAATTTGTGAGGTTTTTCATCGAAGAAACGCAAGTTTTTAAAAAAGTGTGGTTATAATTGAGTGAATTATGTTTATAATGATTAGAAGAGTAAAGTGTTTGTGTTGAAATCGCATAAATCGTAAGTGAGGTTAGTTTTTGAATTGTCACGTCGACTCACAGTAGGCTTTGCAGGTTGGCCGCCATCTCAATATGCCCCCAAGTGGTCCATTTTCCGCCCCTTAGTCTCAAAACCCGGCCAAATTAATGCAAATTTCTCGTAGTTAAATGTTTGGTGGCCTGCTGTCAAAGTGGGCACTCAATTTCGGCACGTTGTCAAAATCAGACAGTGACACAACAACACAACACTTCCAGGAGTCAAAAAATGGAGATCGACGAGGACAGCTTATGTGAAGACTCCGGTAACGAGACCAGCGGCGACGATGTCGATTTCAACGTGGAAGTGGAGAGCACAGCCAAAGACCCGCAGCCCTACGACGAGGAGTACCAATACGAGGTGCTCTCCACCAGCGACATTGTCCAATACATGTCCGACATCATCGACGAGGTGAACAACGTGGTGCAGCTGCCCCCCACGACCACGCGCATCCTCCTCAACTACTTCAACTGGGACAAAGAGAAGCTAATGGAGCGGTTCTTCGACGGCGACCAGGACGAGCTCTTCAAGGAGGCCAACGTGATCAACCCCTTCAAGAGCGTCCCCATGGCCACTCGCCCCAAGTTCTCGCTGAAAATAAAAGGGACGGAGGAGTGCGACATCTGCTTCATGGTGTGCGCCCCCGCGCATATGACGGGCTTGGAGTGCGGTCACCGATTTTGCTACCTGTGCTGGAACGAATACCTCACCACGAAGATTGTGGAGGAGGGCGTGGGCCAAACCATCGCTTGCCCCGCCCTCAATTGCCCCATTCTGGTCGACGATGAGACTGTTATGAGACTAGTCAAGGATTCCAGGGTTAAAATTAAATATCAGCATTTGATTACTAATAGTTTCATCGAATGCAACAGGCTGCTACGGTGGTGCCCCAGTCCCGACTGCAATTACGCCGTCAAGGTAATGACCAATCAGAAGCTTCTTCTCAAATCACCAACCAATCACTACATTTTTTCACTTTGCAGGTGTCTTACGTGGACGCAAAACCCGTGACTTGCATTTGTGGTCACGTGTTCTGTTTTTCGTGCGGGGAGAACTGGCACGACCCTGTCAAGTGCAGTTTGCTGAAGAAATGGATCAAAAAATGCGACGATGATTCAGAGACGTCGAACTGGATCTCTGCAAATACGAAAGAGTGCCCCAAATGCGGGGCTACTATCGAGAAAGACGGCGGTTGTAACCACATGGTGTGCAAGAACCAGAACTGCAAGGCCGATTTCTGTTGGGTTTGTTTGGGTTCATGGGAGCCTCATGGTAGTTCATGGTATAATTGTAATAAATATGATGAAGATGAGGCTAAAGCGGCCCGAGATGCCCAGGAAAGGTCACGTGCGGCTCTCCAACGCTACTTGTTTTATTGCAACCGATATATGAACCACATGCAGTCGTTGAAATTCGAGCACAAACTTTATTCATCTGTTAAGGATAAGATGGAGGAGATGCAACAACACAATATGAGCTGGATTGAGGTGCAGTTTTTGAAGAAGGCGGTGGATATTTTGTGTAAATGCAGGCAGACGTTGATGTATACGTATGTCTTTGCGTATTATTTGAAAAAGAATAATCAGTCTGTGATATTTGAAGACAACCAAAAGGATTTAGAACGTGCCACGGAACTACTGAGTGAGTATCTCGAGAGGGATATAACTCAGGAGAATCTTGTTGATATTAAACAGAAAGTGCAGGATAAGTATAGGTACTGCGATGGGAGGAGGAAAGCGCTGTTAGATCACGTGCATGAAGGCTACGAAAAGGATTGGTGGGTTTGCAAGGAGGCCTAGGATAAAGTTGCAAATTGGGATTTTTAAACAATAAAGTTTTATTTCTTAAAAAGGAGTTTCACTAACTGGTGCTTTTCTGAATTGTTTAGAGTGCAGTGATGGAAGAGTGTGGAATATGCTATTTTTGTAATTTGTAGAAACCAATAAATGCTACATCTTAATACCCCAAGTAACATGTTTAATTTACCCCTCCGAAAAAAACTTCCACTACGCCACTGCCTTTCCCAAAGCGTCACGTGATATTGACATCTGTCAGCTGTCAAATAGTGGGAATGGAAAATTTGGGGCAATAAATAGACGAAATCAGTCTTAATAATCGTTGTTAAATGACCTAGATGTCCACAATCCTGTCTCTACTTACATCCTTACACGAAAACACCTCGATATACAAAAATTTGTTCAGATGTACATCATCTCGGCCATGGAGCTCATCTTCTTGGGTATATGGACAAAAGTCTCGAAATAACTGGCAAGTTCGTCGATTGTCACATCACACGGGGGCGTCACGTTCATCCTCGCCTGGTGCGAGCAGCTGGCCCCCAGAGTGCAGGCCTCCGGCCTCGAGGACAGACTATTGGACCTTTCGCGCGCTTTCTGAAAACTGGCCGCTGTGTAACAGTCACTATTGTCACTATCCAGAGTCAGTTTCTCGTACGCGTCCACAATCGACTTGAAATCGCGCTCTTTGTGCCTCGAGCACTGCCCGAACAGTCTCTCTTTCCGCTTCTTCGAGATCTTGACATTCGATAATTTATCACTATGCGAGCATTTGATGAACTTGAGGATGGGGTCGCGGAGGATCTTGCGGTTGGGGCGCTTGAAAGACGTGGTGTGTTTGATCGCTTGGTTCTTCTTGACGCAGTCACAGCCCGAGCCGAAGTTGATGCTCGAGAGCGATTTGGAGCGTCGGCGGTGCATGAAGGGGTTGGGGGGCGCATCGACAGGGGGGCGCTTAGTCTCCAAGTCGAGCTTTTGCAAACGGCTGAGCAGGGATTGCTCTCCTTGCGACATTTCTGGCACCTGGGGGAGACCTCAACTGGGTCAAGGTTTGACAGGACCAAAACAAACGCGGATTCTCACCTATTTTTGGTACATTCCTCATCATCAAAGCCAGCACACGGCTGAAGGAGATTCGGAATGGGGGCACACGACTGGAATTCGCACCGACGGTTGTTGATGATCCTCTGAGATAAACCAAAACACAAATATTGATGACTAATGATGGATAACTTGGGAATTAAGTCGTAATACGTCACTGCGCATGCCTGAACAGAAACGTCAGTTCTAGAAGGTTTCAAAATTCAAATTTTTGCCGCCTTTCATTTTTATCACCACTCCTGTCACACATAAAAAATATAACGTCGTAAAACAATAACTTAAACAAAATTATTAATTTTTCTTAAATAATAGAAATAAATTATCAAATTTAATAAATAAAACTAAAACGGTTATGCAATTAACAATACACAAGTGTGTGGAAGTAATCTATATCAAAAATCAACCATGTGACTCGATCCCATTTCTCTCCCTCAAACAATTCCCGAAGTAGGCTGGCGTTAAAAATCATGTCATTTCTCATTGGTCTTTCATCCCGTTTCTTCCTGTCTTCCGTCCGCAAAGTCCCCCGAATCCCGAATTTGCTGAATGAATTACCGGAAGTCCCGTTATTCCGCCGCCGTCCCTCCCCCTCTTTCCGGCGGGCGCAGCGTACGCGTTTAGTTCATTCGGTTGCCGTGTCAGTGGAGCAGCCGCTTCGTAGAGTACCTCGTAGTGACTGTGGTGCGCGTAGAAGGTTCTGTTTTCTCGCCAAGGAGTCCGCAATGCCCACTGGGAAGCCGTTCGAGAGGCTGCCGGAGACGGTCAGACCCAAACACTACGTGCTGGAGCTGGTGCCGGACTTGAAAGCACTCAACTTCGACGGAAATGCTGCCGTGCAAATTGAGGTAGGCCCACCATATGCCGGGCCACAGGGGCCCCAGCGACGCTCTGGAACGTCGTCGCCACCCCAACGCCCGGGGGCGGCGGCCAGAAAGGGCGCCGCGGAGTTTGAGGTTAGGGCAGTGGCGGCGAGGCGCATATACACGCTGGCACAGAAATAAGGGACAATAATAAGCATTTTAATTGGATTGTGCACTTAATTCTCGGCTGATTTTTCCCCAACAAATTAACATTCATTAGTTTTTTTGTAGGTCTTCAGGGTGCTGTTAGTTTTTGTCATCAGTTTTTTATTGGTGTTATAAATAACTACTACCAAAGTACCAATTAATTAAAAATGAAGTTGCTATTCGTTTTTTATGCTTCATTTTGATTTGCTTTTAACATCTTTGTTTTTTATTTTCTTCATTATTTTGTTCTCTTTCTTTGAAATGTATTTCAAATTTTTATGCATACTGAACATTTTCAAAAAATATATTACAGTTATTGTACCGGGTGGGGCATTCATTACGCCCAAAAAGAAAATCCCCACTTCTAATTAAATAAAATTGTTGAATTTTTTCACACTTGCCTGGGCGTTAGTAAGGTACATTCTCTAATTTTTTGGTAATTTTTCATTCTCAAACAAAGCCAAAAAAATATAAAAAGTAATTTTCGCCCAAAAAAATTGATTCTAATTTTTATACTGACTTACGCAGATTCACTTCCTACAATTGTTTACAAAATCAGAAAAAAAAATACCAATTAGATGTTGAATTAAACGCAATTTTCCATCTTAACGTTGAAAATCATTTTTATTTATGACCTGCTACTTGTGCAATCGTAAATTTAGGTGACAGTGGGGAACTGCAATTGGGGTAAGATTCCAAGGTTTACAACAAAAAGACCATTTAAAGCGGTCGGCTACCAGTAAATGATTTTTTTGTTGGCAAATTATACCATTTTGTCATAAATCACGGGTCTAGTTTGTGTTTAAATAAAAAAAACGATTATTTGGCTAACCAAGTCAAAATTTGAAATTGACAGGTACAGATTCATTTAGTGTAAAAACTTTATAGGTAAATTAACAGAAAGTATTCATAAAACACACAAAACTGTTACGGACTCATTTATTATCCAAAAAAAAAAATAGAAAAATTCTCAAATTATACCCTACCAATAATTAGTTAGGTATATGAAATAACGCCAGTTTTAATTAATTGGAAGTCGCGATTTATCAAGTGCGCGTAACCGATGCCCCACCCGGTACTTATTTCTGTCACATCGTGTATATGGAAACCTAGATTTCTGAAAAAAATTAAAAAATCTCTTCTTAAATTTTCCTATTTGTTGAAGTAATTTTGTCTCAAGAAGGTTTGCCGCCGCGCCACTGATTGTTCATTCATGAAAAATGCAGTTTTTTCGTCCCAGGCATTTGTAAAGCTTGTCAATGAACCGTTGACCCTCTCATTCAATGATAATTACGAAAGGAAAAAAAAAAGTTGTGATACTATTTTAAATTAACTTTAATTATGTAACTGCAAGTAAAAGGAAAGTGAAATGATAAAAAGTACAATCGACTTGTTTGTAAACGATACAAATCGTGCTGTGATTTTTGGTAGACTTTCAAATTTTGTATGTATTTATAAATCAAGATTACGAGATTACACCAACGAATGGAAATTTACAAGTTTTTTATGTGTGGACGAAAAATACGTACACAAGTGGAGGTAATGATTTTTACCTGGATTTCGATTGTGGTTTTTTTTTCTTGGAAGGCTTTTGTTGTAATTAAGAAAATGACCGACATTCCAAAGAGATTCAGTATTGATTTTTTGTCGTACTTATTGCAAAACAAAGTACATATTACAATTGTGATAAAAATGACTGATAACCAATTTATGAGCTTTTTAGTTGTTATTGTTCACAAACAGCAAGTTAAAATTTTAGCGAATTTAGAAAAATACAGGTCAAATGCTGTTTGGTTTCGAAATTTTAGCGTATTGTAACTGGTTGTTATTTATTTCAACTGTTTTCCTCACAGTTATATTTGAATACGGTTAACTGAAGCTTATCTTGTTTATTTAATATTTGTTAAAAGTTTATATTTTTCGTGGTTATGGCGTCACCGTTATTTAAATATTTATTCGATTTTTTTATTTTCTTATCGAGTAAATTGCGTTATCACTCGCTTTTCTATTTTTTCGAATTTATAAAACTCGTCCAGTGGCGTAGCTAAAAATAGGGTGTATTTAATTGCGTCCCAGTTATTCCATTCAATCGATAGATGAATGATAACGCAATTAAAATGTTCCGAGGGATTACGTGCTTGCGGTGCTTAATAAAGCGGCTCTTACATAATTACAATAAACAACAGTGTAGGTAGAAAAGTATGGGATTGTTGAATAGACCGGTAATGTTCCATACTTGGGTGTAACGGGAAGGGAAAGCAAGGAGAAGCAGTCGCAGGCCGCCCCTAACAATAAAATTAATTATTCCGATATCGGTACGATCTCGAAGGAAAATGTTTATGGAAAACACAACCTTTCACTTTTATCGTTTGACGTCTTGCGAAATAATTTTTCGTAAAATTTCTGTTTTTATAAGAATTGGAACCGAATTTGTGGAGTTATTTTATTGTTCTCTGGAGACACACATGTGGCTGAATATGCAAAAAGTGGAACAAATGACGGTCGGCGATTTTCACTTGGGTAGGGGGGAAATTTTGACACATAAATTACATTGAGATTCAAATTTGTGTTTGAAAGCATAACGTCCTGGTTTTGTCCAATAACAGGAGTCATTAATGATTAAGTGTATGACGAAGTACGATAAGTTCATAAATTGTGATGGATGACGTCGAAATTATCAAAAATGTGGCATAACGAGTATAAATGAGCGGTTCGAAAGGCGTAATTTACATTCATTTAAATTTGTAATTTCGGTCTCTGAGTTAGTCGTTCACAAATAAAGCAATCATCCAATTTATTGTTCAATTAACTATTTGTATAATTTTTTCAACAGTAACTAAATTGCACTTTTCCACAATAGTTACGTTTTACAAACAGTGGACAAGAACAATGCTATTTAAAAATTTTAATTAACTTTTATTATTCTAGATGTTGCGACAATTTATAATCTTTGTTAATTAGTGGCTTTCAGTGGTAATAAAATTATTAAATAATGTTCATTGTCAAGTTTTCCTCTTTATAAGTATACAAATAAGGAATTTGTTTGGTTCTGTATTAGAGAAGGAAATTTTATCATGCAATTTTGCATCATATCTCTGAAATCTGAAACGCGTCGGTGTGGTCGTCAACAATAAAGATTTTATGAAGTACGCATAAACGTATAATTTGTTTTTGCAAGAAACGTATAAAAAGTGCATTAGCAGAGGTATACAGGATGTTTCAGCTGAGATTTTCCTTGTTATTAATAAACAAAAACTGACACTTCTATTTTTGTTAGAAAAACAAGGACAATTTTTTTAACATTTGCGATAATGGCATCTATGTAGGTACTCTTGTAGGATGAAAACAACCTATGTGACAAAAAAATTGCACTTTAATACTAAAAAATACATTTTTTTGTGTTCCTTACCTCTTTCTTCGTTTTCAGTGCCTAATAAATACACATATTTTCTGGTTTTCTAGTCATGTTTTTTTAATACCACTTTCAGGGATTTTTTTGTTTTTTTTTCTTCATTTCTTCTTCCTTTCTTCAATATTTCTGCCTTCGTATGGTCTCTAATAGACTACTTATTTGTTTTTCTACCTTTGTACTTTTTTACGCTTCATTTTTAGATTTTTACTCACTTTTAACATCTTTGTGTTTTATTTTGCGTCATTATTTCTTTTTCTTTTTTTATTTTCTCGTATTCTGTTTTAAATATTCTAGACGTCATTTTGTCTTATTTACATTTTTCTATATATTGCAAATGTATTTCAAATTTTTCTCAATGCAACCTTTCAACATTTTTGTTAAATCTTTTTTTGCTCATCATGAGCACGATGTTCTGCTTTCCCAAGTTATTTTTTCTTATTTTCTTTCTGTTTTTGTTTTTCTATCTGCTTTTTTATCTTTCAGTTTTGTTTGTTAAATAAATTTTTCTGGTTTAATTTATCTATAATGTTTCTGCTTGTCGCTCCTTTTATAATAAACATAAATTGTGTCATAGATTAATCAATCCATATTTTATTATTAGTATAATTGAGAGATTTTTTTTTATATGGTAGATTATATATGACAGTTCAGGTTGGGAAGTGGTCATTTCCTTACCAGTTTTTGGGTTTGGAAGTAGCCATTTTCCAGTCTGAACTTGATATTTCATATCAATTGTCATACTTTTCACATGCAACGTAATTTGATTATTACTTTATGATTGTGTAAAAACTAAAAATTTGACTAAAAAAATACAACAATAAATTTTGTCACATTTTGACCTTGTTGTACCAACAGAAAAAGTATTTCAGTTGAAAACCAGGGATTTCAAGGCGATATTTGAAAACAATTTTTTATGCATATTTTATTCAAATTTATACAAATTGTCTCAAATTCTGATCAAAAGCATAATCTATGAAATTCCGCTCAAAAGTCGACACAATGGATGAATGATTCAGCCTTGTTCTCCCTTAGGACACACGTTTTTGTAATTTGAGCCTAATTGCATGGTGTGAAGGTGAGTGAAAAATTGCATTTCCGACCGTAAAAAAGCGCATTATTTGCAAAAAACATTCACATAACGATGTCGACACAGATGCAATAATAATTAATTAACATTACTGATTATGGAATCGAGAGAGGAGGCTCGAGAGGCCTTCGAGAGGCGCGATCCGCCCATAACGGTATTGGGTATTTATCGCCCTCGACAGGTAGTATACCCGACCTAACTGTACTTGAGCCCTTTTAACGGTATCGTCACACATGACACCAATCCTTTCGTTTCTTTTCAATTTTTTTTTGAGTTGAATAGAGCATAATGTTTATCTTGCGCAATAGCGATTGCACTCTCACGTGGGCCGCGGCATTCCGAAGGGCGCCCCTTCATCGGCTTGTCATTTATATGATGAAATTCACATGCGACGAGTGATGCAAGGTCACGTGGGGAAACTTCGCTCATACAAAGTGCCTTCTAACTACGCACACACCGTACCAATTTTGTATTCTTCAACCAATACGTGAAATTCCATAAAGGCAAAAAGAAATTTTGTTTATGTTGGTGCCGGCTTTCACTCAACGACCGCCGTTGCACCTGCCGCATATACAACATGTTTCAAGCTTTACGAATTATTTTTACGCTCGGTTGACGGCGCTTTCGAATGATTATATACAAAGACTCGAAAAGCTCCAAAAGCTGAACGAATCTACCAACGGTAAACCTGATAAATTAAATCACAGTTGCTCCAACTATAAAACAGTTTTCAGTCGAAGTTTGCTTTTTTAAAGACTGATTTTGCATCCCAGCGTCTTTTTCTGTTTTTGACTTAGAAAATTCGACATTTTAGCGAATTTTTTACAAATTCAGATCTTTGCTATCGTTACAAAGGTTATTTTTTGTGAAGAGTACTTAACTGTTTTTTGAGCTATTTGTTTAAAGTTAAAAGTTACTTTTATTTTAATAAAAAATTACAAGACTAGATTATTTAGACCTTTCAAGTACTCTCACATAAAATATGTACACAAGGTGTACCAGCTAACTAGCTGGTAGTGTTTTATTCAGTCACTATAGTGATATAACGATTTCTACCTTTTTGGAGGTCGGGACATTTGTCATTATATCCCGTGGTTGGGAAGTAATTTTTGAAGGATTACCAAGGTTACGAACCCATCAAATGTCAAAAGCTCAGTTTCTTTTTTATATCACACCATAAAATATGATGGGGAAAAACGAGAAAATTTATCCTCTAGAAGACTATGACATCGTTTCTTACTATACAAGGTGCGCCAAAACTCGCATCAAATGTCAAAAGCTCAATTTGTTTTTTATATCACACCATAAAATATGATGGGGAAAAATGAGAAAATTTATCCTCTAGAAGACTATGACATCGTTTCTTACTATACAAGGTGCGCCAGAACTCGCGTCCCAGAGAAAAATGCCATGTAAGGTAAGATACCAGGAACATGGAAAAAATGTTAGAAAAATTCTATCTTGAAAAATTTCAAATTTGTGAGAGTTTAAACTTTGCACTTTGACTCTATTTATTTCTGTTGGAAAAATTATTTTCCTAGTTTCTTTGCTACAGGCTATTAGAAGAGGAAACAACGAAGCTGTATCCTAAATTGTAACTCTATTTAATGTTATTTGTTTTGTTTTTATTTATTTGCAAAATTTTTGTACCTTTACTAAATAATTATAAAAAAAACATATACAAGATCATTAAAAATACAAAAAAAAATTCAAATGTCAAAAAATAAATGTCAATATTCCTGGTACCTTATCTTACTTGAAATTTTTCTGTGGGGCGCGAGTTCTGACACCCTGTATAATTTACATTGGCAAAAAGCTTAATAGGATAAATTTTCTCGATCGTAATATGGTACTACACTATTATTAACCTTTAAATATTAAAATACTCGCATTTAAAAATTTGCACACATAAGGCATTAAATATTAACCTACACTGCTTGAAATTATTTTCACGTGATATTTATTATATGGAATAATTGAAAAAATCTGAAAAAATTCACATGCATAGAGAAAAAAAAAACACAAAGATTTTAATGGCAAACGCTGTTTTTTGTGACTTTTGTGTAGTAAAAATACACTCTTAACAGACACCCTGTATGGAATGTCTCAGCTCAGTTTTTTTATGAAGCTTTTTTATTGGTCGATTTTGTTTAGTTTTTAAAATATGTGATTTCTTTTAAAAAAATACGCTCTTTTTAAAAAAATATTACACAAAAACCAGGAATACTAGAATAATAAAATTTGCAGTACTTTTTAAAGAAGAAAGTATACAAACTTTTGAGCTTTCTGTCAAAAGTATAAAATTTGGAGAGGCTTGAAACGAAATAAAAGATAAGTTTTATTGTTTTTTTTTTCAAAAAGTAACAATTATGGAAATGATTGTGCAAAAACACAATTTTTGAATAAAAAGTTGTACGATAGTGGTGACTACATTTTACATTTAGTGATTATTTATAATTTGCATATTGGACGTCATTTAGGCGTTTTTCAAGGCATTTTATTTTGTTATCATTCGACTTTGGCAGTGTTATCACTGTTTTATACTGTCAAATTACTGAGCTTTCTTATTTTAATTTAATTTTTTTTTGATGAAAAACTTAATGACGTATAGAATTATTTCTTTTACAATTTGCGCTTATCAAGTCAATTGTTTGCTAGCCGTTTTTTTTTTTGTTTTTCAGGTTGTGAAGCCAACAAACGAGATCGTACTTAACGCCATCGACTTAGAAATCAAAGAGACGACTTTAAAAGGTGCCGATGTCTTAACTCCCATCTCGACAAACTTTTCCGTCGAAGATGAAACCGTAACATTTAATTTCGCCAAATCAATCTCTCCCGGTTCTTATTCGCTAAATATGCGATTCAAAGGCGAACTCAACGACAAAATGAAAGGTCTCTATCGAAGCAAATATCAGAACCAAAAAGGCGAGGAACGCTACGCTGCCGTCACTCAATTCGAGGCCACCGACGCTCGCCGGTGCTTCCCCTGTTGGGACGAACCGGCCCTTAAAGCCACCTTCGATATAACACTCACCGTTCCCAAAGATCTAGTCGCTTTGAGCAACATGCCTGTTAAACAATCGAAAGAAGAGGGCGATTTGATTCGGTATGATTTCGCGACGACTCCCATCATGTCGACTTATTTGGTTGCTTGTGTGGTTGGGGAGTACGACTACGTGGAGGATAAGTCGACAGATGGGGTGCAAGTGAGGGTTTACACCCCACGAGGGAAGAAAGAGCAAGGGTTGTTTGCGTTGGAAGTTGCAACGAAAGTGTTACCCTACTATAAGGACTACTTCAATATTGCTTATCCTTTACCGAAGATTGATTTGATTGCTATCGCTGATTTTAGTGCTGGGGCTATGGAAAATTGGGGCCTTGTTACTTATCGCGAGACTTGTCTTTTGGTCGATCCTCAGAATACTTCAGCGGTGCAAAAACAGTGGATTGCGTTAGTGGTGGGTCATGAATTGGCCCATCAATGGTTCGGAAATTTGGTTACGATGGAATGGTGGACGCATTTATGGCTTAATGAGGGTTATGCCTCATTTGTTGAATATTTATGCGTCGATCATTTGTTCCCCGAGTATGATATTTGGACGCAATTTGTCAATGATACTTATATAAGGGCATTGGAGTTGGATTGTTTGAAAAATTCACACCCTATTGAAGTTCCAGTGGGGCACCCGTCGGAAATCGATGAGATTTTCGACGATATCAGTTATAATAAAGGCGCGTCGGTTATCCGAATGTTGCATAATTACATCGGAGATGAGGATTTCCGAAAAGGGATGAATTTGTACTTAACTAAACACCAGTATAAGAATACCTTCACGGAGGACCTTTGGGCGGCCTTGGAGGAAGCTTCGAATAAACCAGTGGGGGCTGTCATGTCCACTTGGACCAAACAAATGGGATTTCCGGTGATTAAAGTCACAAGTCGACCTGATAACAACAAGGGAGTCGTTTTGACACTTTCCCAAAGTAAATATACGGCTGATGGATCAAAACCCCCAGAGGATTTCTTATGGATGATTCCGGTGTCGATAATCACCTCGAAACAAAAAAATAAGACGATCAGTACTGTGCTTAAGACGAAAGAAGCCGAGGTTGTGATTCCGGATGTGGGTCCAAACGATTGGATTAAAGTAAATCCGGGGACTGTCGGGTTTTACCGGACTCAGTACGCTCCGGATCTTCTTGCGAAGTTTATTCCAGCGATTAAAGACCGGAGTTTGCCACCGTTGGACCGTTTGGGGCTTCTGGATGATCTTTTCGCGATGGTTCAAGCCGGTCATACGAACACAGTCGAGGTTTTGACACTACTGGAAGCTTTCACCGACGAAACGGACTATACAGTGTGGTCCTCGATCAACAATGTTTTGGTCAAACTAAACATGTTGTTGAGTTATACCGACTGTGCAGAGGATTTTAAAACGGTTAGTTTGGTTAAATAGGTTGTGATTTTTGACAAATTTTCTTGTTTGTAGTACCAAAAACGCATTTTGAGCAAAATATACAAACGGTTGGGTTGGAACCCCAAGGCCACGGAGCGCCACCTCGACACCCTTCTCCGGGGGTTGGTTTTGGGTCGTTTGTCGTGGCTTGACGACGAGGACACCATCGCCGAGGCTAAAAAGCGTTTTGAAGGTCACGTCAATTCTAGTCAAACTTTACCGGCAGATTTACGAAGTGCCTGTTACAAAACCGTACTTAGAGCAGGGGGCGAAGACGTCTACAACACCCTTTTGAAATTGTACAGATCGGTGGATTTGCATGAGGAGAAAGATCGGATTAGTCGAGCGTTAGGTGCGGCGAAGGACCCTGAGATCTTGTCGCAAGTCTTGAAATTCGCCATATCGGTAAAGTAGAGCTCTGTATGTCCAGAAAGGGGTTTGATCGTGTTTTTTCCAGGAGGAAGTAAGGGCGCAAGACACCGTCTTTGTGATTATTTCCGTGGCGATATCTCGCGTTGGAAGAGACCTCGCGTGGCGATTTTTCGTCGATAATTGGACGCTGTTCAACGATAGATATAAAGGGTTTCTATTGACGAGATTGGTGAAGTTCGTAGCTGAGAATTTCGCCAGTGAGGAGTCGGCGAAGGAGGTTGAGGAGTTTTTCAAAACTCATGATATCTCGGGGACGGAAAGGACAGTTCAGCAAGCCGTTGAGACGATCAGGTTGAATGTGGCGTGGTTGAAACGCGATACAAATGCCATAAAGAATTACCTCACTAGCAACTGAGTTTACTTAATTTTTTTCTTGTCTGTTTTCTACGATAAGGATCGTTTTTGCCAGTGACTGTAACTATTTGTTTTTATTATTTTTTTAATGTTTTGTAGCAGCGATACAGTTAGTTGTAATTGTAAATTATCTAATAAATGGTGATTTATTCACAGTTTTGCTTTACGATGTTAGTGATTAAAATCCACCGACTTTGGGATAATTTCTTTTTTTCCAAATTACCTGCTCATAAGCCTGGAAGAGTTTTTATTCTTTGCCCTCTCTGATGTTCAACTTGAAGGGACTGTTTCGGCTTATGTAAATCAAAACTTAAATAAAACCGCTGAATGATTAGTAAAAAAACATTTTTATTTAAATTAGAGATGATTAGGTAAGGTTGAAGTAAAAAGGTTGTTTATACAAAGACATTTATTATTCAGTAAATTTTCGGTATTCGTATAATTATCTTATAATATAAACAACTATTTCTATGTACAATGCAACATGGTACAAGGATTACGTACACCATTATTCCTCGGTATCATAAAATTTACCTTCAGTAAACACATCCGCGTAACAAACCAAAGTAACAATTTAACTCTATCACATAATATAAAGTACACCAATTTTGACACAAAAATGGTGCATTTCAGAGCGATACATCCAAAAACGAAACAAATGTACAAAGTAAAAAAGGAAACATTGCGATAATCATTTATTATTATTATTATAAAAAATAGTCTTGAGACAACGAAAACCTTCAATGTTGGTCTTGCGTTTCGATTCATCCGCTATAAAAAACACTTTTGATTTGTCATCATTTTGACGGAAACGAGTGCCTACGTAAGCGTGCACTGAGCATGAGTGATTAGTAAAATGTAATCGCTAAAAACCTATGACAAGTGAAAGTTGACGGCATGTTTGGACGTACCACAGGAGGGGTGCATTGCCGCTTAGTGCCTTGATCCAAGAATGGCCTACTCTATCGCTATTCATTGACTAATGATGGTGTTCTAGAGCTCACAGCAAAAACTTATATTCAACTAAACCATGCTCTATTAGGCCTAAATCCAATATTTCCTAATTAAATTTAATCCTCGAACGCAAAAAACGCCCTAAAATCACTACATTTTGACCGTTGGCACGATCGTTCCCCCGCCAAGCTGCAGCGCCCCCTATAACATAGCTAATAAGACACGATCCGACACGATTCAGTCTTAATCTTGTTCGTTTATTTACGTGATCACGTGGCGCAGAGGAACGGCGATAGGGGCTAAAGATAAAATGACAAAAAACAGAAACGGGTGCCAAGGCATAACAACAGCCCCTTTTTTTTTGACCAGACGCAAAGTCTTTAATTTTATAATTGAGCACCATGGAAGGAATGGATCGGTGAGTGAGTGAGAGTGTAAAAAATCACATCTGTCGACTAGTGTCCAACAAATGTCATGATTCAACGGAAAGATGTTGTACAGCAGTGTGAGAGTGACGTGGCTTGAAGCTGGGATGAAGGAAATGACCTAAGGGTCATTGCTTGAAGAAGGTTCCTGAGAGAGGTAGTTTTGACAATCCTCATTTGATACCAGAATACTGCTCTTGGTACAGGTGTACGCCCTCCACACTAAAGATCGAAGCGTCTAAAAAAAGCAAAATTAAACAAAATCAGAGACTCCACCCCCTCACCATCGGGCAACTCCAGAAGCTTCTTGGGCAAGCCGTTGAAATACGGATGCACCATCGCCTCATCGGCCCCCAACCGCTTCAGTGGATCTAGTTGCAAGAGCGCCGTGGCCATCGCCTCCCCATGCACGACATCATGCAACCGCGGCCAATACAGCCCCAATTTCCTAGCCCTATACTGTCCTATTTTGTGTAACTTATACCCCGGTAATCGCGTAACACCGGGCCAGTCTTCTTCGGTCGGAGTCCCTAACACCTTAAATATCTTATCTAGTTGATCGTAGGTATCCCTGACGCCGGGAAAAATCGCCATCCCGGTGATCATCTCGACGAATATACAGCCCACCCCCCACATATCCAACGACGTCGAGTACTCGGTACTCCCGAGGAGCACGTCGGGGGGCCGGTACCACAGCGTCACCACCTCGTGGGAGTATGTGTGACTGGGGACTGACTTGGCTCGCGCCAACCCAAAATCGGCCAATTTCAACTCGCCGATTTCGCTGATGAGGAGGTTCTGGGGCTTCACGTCGCGGTGGAGCACCCTGCGTTTGTGGCAGTAGGACAGCCCCCGCAACAATTGGAAGAGGAACAGTCGGACGTTGCGAGGGTCCAAGCCGCCACTGTGGCGTTCGAGATACTGAGATAGGTCGGTGTGCTACAAAAGTTACAAACTCATTTTTAATATTTTTATAAGTTGAGGAGGTTTTTTTTTATCCAGAGAGCATAACTATAGCCCCAGAAACAAAAAGAGGAAAAAAAATCATTTTTGCAGCAAAAACGTTTTAATATGAGAAAGAATTAAAGTCTGTTTTATTTTTTTAAATGGAAATGGAAAAGGCCCTTTAAAATCTAGACGCAATTTGTTATGCAGGTTTGCTACACATTCTCAATTTATAGCAAGAAATTGACAAGAATACAAAATAAACATGAATAAGCAGCAAGAACCTCGGAAAGAACGCAATTAAATTAGTGCCTTATGTTTTTGAGGAACGAGTTGAAAAAGTAACAATTTTGAAACTAAAGCTGAAGAAGAATTTATAAAATGCATCATCTTTGAGCTCATTTCAATAAATTACACAAAATTTATTGCCAATCATCATAATATCTACTTGTATCTTTTGCTAAATAATTTTTTATTTTTTTTTATACATCCTTTTTCTTCAAAGTTTTTGTAGCAAGATCCTTATTTTTGTCTACAACACTGTACAATCAGCGTAGAAAAGAATGTCCTCCTACTAAACCGCGCGGACCCTTAGAGGCTGAACTAAACCACAACAATAAATCTTTTCCATTGTAAACCTCATTTCTTATTCCACAGTATATTCAGTTTGAAGTGAAGCTCAGTTACCGATTTTACTTTCAATTGAGTAAATAAATTATTTTAAAAGATTCACAACTTTATATTGTTAAAAATTAAATTAAAAAAATATTTTAATTGGCCTTTACTTAGTTATTTATCTACTAAGATAACAAGTAAATTCCATTTTAAATGGCAAAATTAAATAAACAATATTATTATTATTAGAAATACCTAATAAAAACTGTCTATTACTATGAAATAAAATGACCAAATCTAACCAGTGACTATTTAATATAACTCTTTAAAATATTGATACTAAATTTTTATTTTTTTTGTAAATTTTTAAATAATTTCATTATTAATTTTTATTCAATTTAAACAGGTAGACGTGCTAACTCTTTTGAACTCGTAGCAACCTTTACAAAAAAGGAATATTTAAATTGAACTATTGAGATTTTTGCAACCAAAATCACAAAGCAATTGTAACAAATTTACGAATTTGTTTTTGCTAATAATTGTTCAATAAATAAAATAAAATTTCGAAACGTCGGCTATTTAAGAAAAAGTTTTTTTTTTATTTGTCCTCAACTCGTGATCCACTATACGAATTAATCAACTTTTATTTTTGTGTATTAAAAAAAATCATAACCATTGGAAAACCTTATTAATAAATATTTTATTACCAAAAAATTACTTGTAACTTTAATACAATAATATTTTGCAAATTCATTTTGAATACGAATAAAACAAACACTATTGTAGTAAAAAAAATACCTTACTACATAATAAATTACTTGCGGTGTGTTTCTATCAAAATTATTAGCACTGAATTCTGTCTTTAGACATTAGGTAATGATGTCTGTCCTCAGGTATTCAATTATAACGCTTTCAAAGAGCAAACAGGCACACAAGATTCATAAAAATCTAAATTTTGACAACACCTCAATTTGAAAACATAACCATAACTTTTTAACAAAATTTCTAGAGACAAAAACAAAGAGTAAACAAAATTTGTGGGTATGGAGACAAGCCAATTTTTTCACCAAAATTTTGACTTGGAAATTGAAAAAAAACAGGCTTTAGGATCGACTTACGACATATTCAAAGACGAAAGTGAGAGTCTCTCGCGTGTGGACGATGTCGTGCAGTGTGACTATGTTGGCGTGTTTCAGTTCTTTGAGGAGGGAGGCTTCTCGGATCGCCGTGAACGGAGCGCCTTCTTCTTCTTGAAGTCTAATCTCTTTCAATGCTACGACTTGGTTTTGTAAACTAGGAGAGATGAGAGAAAAGAGAATTAGTCGAATGGGAACAGTTGAGGCGGAACACCAAGGGACTTACTTGCTAAATCCTTTGTACACGGTCGCGTATGAACCTTCACCTAATTGTTCTAGTTTTATGTAGGCTTCCGACTTGCCGAAGGGGGAATCGCCCTGAAAACAATATTACTATGAAAACCAATTTTTTGCAAATTTTGGAGTTTTTCTGTTTTTCCCCTTTTAATTGGCGCGGATTTCTCTCCGTTCCATTAAAATGGAAGCATCGGTGCCCATTAGAATTATTTACGTGACTTACTTAAAGCCAAACAAGGCGATACTCATCTTAATTGTTAGGCGTTTAATGGTTTTTTTTCCGTGTTTAATTGGACCGGGCGGAATGTAATTGGAAGGGACATTACCCCGATGTTCAGCTACCGTTGATGAAATCGAGGGTTTCGACTAACAAGGACTGTTATTAGAGTTGAACGGTGAAAAAAAGGCCACTTTTCTCGTACAGGAAGTTACATAATAAACGTATGTTGCATTCAAATTAGATACCAGTTTCCGGTTCAGTGGCATCGCGATCTTAGAAGCCTTGAATTTAAATTTGTTGATCAGGGATCCAAACGGATAACCATATTAGGAGTGAATTTAAAATCCTAGGTACTACTACATAGATTTTTCTACCAGTGTTTGGAAATTAAATTTACTGATAATCCCTCTTTCAATTATGGATAATACAAAACATTGTTGAGGAGAACCAATAATCGCAGTCTCACTAAAAAATTAGGAAGTGAGAAGGGTTTTTTTTATTTCCGAATTTTTTAATGCTAATTTTCCTAATTAAAACTAGTAATCAAAATACTAAATGTCAGTAATTTATTTAGTGAAATCTTACAATAGCTCATTTTCATTTATGAACAGAAAACATTCTCAAAATAGTATATTATGCTATTAGGAGTAAAAGTGATAGTTTAAGTGGCAAAGCTAAACGTTTAATGTCAAATAAATTTAGGTAAATCGAGAGTAAAGAAAATCACTACAATTAGCAAGTAAATGAACAAAATAATCAGGACGTTTTACAATTAATCCAATTATAACAACGCTTATAAACAAACATCACGTGTCAATATCGGAATTTGTGTTGAAATGTGTTTACTGATTTAACTAGTGGGTGAATAGTGCAGTTAGTAGTGCAAAATGTTGAATAGTGATGATCTACAATGTACCTCTTCAGAAACTGTAAAGCAGCGAAAGGACAAGAAAGAAACAACATTGGTAAATATTAATAATATCATGGTAAAAGTAAAAACGCTTAAGCGCAAAAACAGAATTTTTACTCCATGGCTGAAAGGTAATAGTCACACAAGTGGTCCTTTTTGTGACGTTTGTGGATAAAGAATATTAAATATAATTTAAACAGAAAATTAGACAATGAGAAACGTTTTTCTCTTTTTCGATTTTTTTTGTTAAAGGAAAAATGATGCTTTTCTACCAGTGTTTGGAAAATAGATTTACTGATAATCCCTCTTTCAGTTTTTTTTATTTATTTATTTTTTATTTTTTTATCATGTAAAAAATTTTCAATTATGGATAATACAAAACACTGTTGAGGAAAATCAATAATTGCAATCTTACTAAAAAAATTAGGAAGTGAGAAGCTTTTTTATATTTAAGAATTTTTCGTATTTTTTAATGCTAATTTTCATAATTAATACTAGTTATCAAAATATTACATTTCAGTAATTTATTTAGTGAAACCTTACAATAGCTCATTTTCAATTATGAACAGAAAACATTCTCAAAATAGTATATTATGCTATTAGGAGTAAAAGTGATAGATAGCTTATGTGGCGAAGCTGAACGTTTATTGTCTAATAAATTTAGGTAAATCGAGAGTAAAGAAAATCACTACAATTAGCAAGTAAATGAACAAAATAATCAGGACGTTTTACAATTAATCAAATTTTAACAACGCTTATAAACAAACATCACGTGTCAATATCGGAATTTGTGTTGAAATGTGTTTACTGATTTAACTAGTGGGTGAATAGTGCAGTTATTAGTACAAAATGTCGAATGGTGATGATCTACAATGTACCTCTCCAGAAACTGTAAAGCAGCGAAAGGACAAGAAAGAAACAACATTGGTAGATATTAATAATATCATGGTAAAAGTAAAAACGCTTAAGCGCAAAAACAGAATTTTTACTCCATGGCTGAAAGGTAATAGTCACACAAGTGGTCCCTTTTATTCTAAATTAACTGTAATTGGAAACTGAGAAGTTTTTTAATTTAATGTTGAAAAAATTAAGCTTTTCATAACACATTAAATTTCGGTTTTTCAATTATAAACAACAAAAAACATCCTCGAGAAAACCATTAATCACAATTTACAATAGACAATCAGGAAATGAGAAATTTTTTTCTCTTGATTTTTTAGTAAACTTTTATTTGGTGTAGAAAAATTGCAGCTTTGCAATGAAACATAGCACTACCACAGCCCCTCTTTTCCACCCCTATTATTCCGATAAATTTGAATCGCGAGTGGTCTTAGTAGAGCTTATGCTCGTCAAGTTGCTGTGCTTTAATTCCGCCCTTTTGAATAATTCACTCACCCCAAAAGCGGAATACCTCTTCGTTCGCCGGTGATCGGACCCTTGATTGAGTAAAACTTCGGACTTGGGTCTGGGGGGTTTTCTCGGTCTTAGTATCACTTTAGTCTCCTCTCGAATATCGTCGTCGAGGAGTTTGCTGTCCGAAGACACCGAAAGTTGTCGTTTGACCCTCTCGTGGCCGGACACATTGTACAGTTCTGTAAAAAAAAAACACACACATCCTTGATATCAAAGCGATTCGAAGAAGAGGGTCGACCCCCTGTTAAAAGCCTTTCAACTTTTAACATTGCAGGGATGGAAAAATCTGCTAAATTGATAAACGCGACAAGGACCCTTCGGTGCCCTTTTCTAATTGGCTACGTTATGTCGCAAGCTTAGTGCAGCCACGTGGAAAAAGCCTCCTTTGCGTTCGCGCCTCACCGATTTCGAATAATTAATTCTCGAGGATTTTTATCGAAGCAAGAGCGTCTGCGGCGAGAGATATTTGTTGTGACGGAATATTAATTCACAATGAGGCGTGACGACAGAGAAAAATCCACTCAAATAACTTTATTAGCGCGAAGCGATGACATGTCAAAATGTTTAGCTCTGTAGTTGGGAGACGAAAGGAATTCATTAAATCTTGTGTGGAAAGACAATGAAATTCATTAACTCTTCGTTTGATCTATTAGTGGAATTAATAGCCTTGGCAAGTTTCTTAGAAACAAATTAAACATCTCACGGCACTATACTACGACATCAAATTGAGTTAATTTATGTGCATACACAGAGTATATTATTATAATATAATTTACAACTAACACGAGCGTATTATTATTATTCGCGACAAATTTTACAGAATTGTATAGTCGTCGGAGGGTTGTTTAACCGTACGACTGTTAAGGGCGCAAAAAATTATTACCGTAGAATTGTGTAATATTGGAATTATTTTGTGACGTTGCGAATGGCTGGATTACGCAATCCCTAACAAAGACCTTTTTTTTACAACGAAACTGTTACGAAATGGGTTATTATGGATCTTGACGTTTTTTAAGGGAATTAATACGGTAACGAACGAATCAGTCTTAGTTTGGCTCCCGTACGAGTTAATTGAATTGTAATAATTGTCCGAATAAGTTACTTATTTCGTGGTTTAGTGCGAAATTGTGTCGAAATCGGGACTGTATGGTATTTTCGAGTGCCTAGTAGACATTTAGTAGCGGGCGATTTTTAAAATTTTGAGTGACTAGTGAGGGCCAATGGTGGAATGGAGAAGACAATCGTGTTACAAGGATCCGGACTAAAGGGTAAGTCAACTATATCTTTTATTTTTTTACAAAAATCACATTTAAAGTTTATTTAATATTTTCAACTGATTTAATAATAATGAACTGATTTTGTGTTTCTTTATTTTCAGTAGGTCCGCTTAAGAAGCAGAGGCGAATTGCTACAAAGAGTAGCAGAAGAAGATGCCATAAAGGTTAGTTGTATTTTATTTTTAATTTTTTTGTTTATGAGAAAGTGAAGTGTGACAATTTGTGATTGTTGAGTGCAACTGTAAGTATTTATTAAATTATGAATAGAAATTAGTTGTTTTAGATAAAATGTATTATTTCTCAAATTCTTTTTTAAAATTTGTAGAAAACGATTTAAAAGTAAATCTTGAAATTTTAAAATTAAATTCAAATGAGATTCAAAAAGCAGCCCTTTTAAAAACTTGTAATATTCTTAGGAAATGTTTCAATATTAACGAAATTTATTTTAATAACATCGAAAATAATAACTTAATAATTCATTAAGTTGCGAGGATAAATTAAAACAAATTTCTCTCTTAAAAAATGTTTCCATTTAGCAAAGGTCACAAAAGGCACCCAAATTACATACTTTTATCTAAATATCAGAAGATGAAATATAATTTTAAAAGTATTCATTCTTTACGGAAGAAAAATTATTTAAATATTTTTGCGCGATAAGACTCTTTTCGATTGTTTACTACGTCTGTTTCCAAGACAGTAAGTTGTATTTACTCGTTGCTATGCCAAATTCGTCAGTAAGGATTTTTGTTTATTGTTGCTAAGTCGGTAAGCATTCAAAAATGCCAAAGTATTTTGGCGTTCTACATTTTTTAGATATTTTATTAAAAAAACTAACAAAAACCAATCGCGCAAAAAATATCATAAGCATCACGAATAAAGATCTCAGACAATAATTGGACAACAATTGTCTTCGATCGGTAAAATGTCCTTACCGTTCTTGATGCTAATATACTATGACCTTTTATCAAAAATAAGTATGTCATAAATTTAAAATTTGAATTTATAAACAATAATTATTTAATAATGGCAATGAAGGAAATGGGTTAAAAACTAGTTTTTATATTTAATTACAATGCTTTCTACTTTTACGCAATCGTTTTACAATTGTTTTTTTTCAGTCATTTTTAAAACGTTCCTCCGATATGAAAATACAGTTACCACAATTTAACTGTAATTTGCATTATTATTACTTAAGCGTTCTTATATTTTTTTAAAATCTTCTGGATACAAATTTTCCAATCATAGGGAATATGGATTTACAGATAAGTGAATTCAAAAAACGTTCATTTATTTTCAGTACCTCTAACATCAAAAAAAAATAAATAAAAATCGGTGAAATGACAAAAAATTTGTTGCAATTTCAGAAAACAATGATATGCACCTGGACACTAAAGTCTTATTTTAACACATGAGTAATGAAAAATAAGATTTTAGTATCTTGACACAGAAATAACAATTTTTTGTTCTCTGAAAAGGGATAGTTTTATCTGAAACTATTTATTACTATTTTCCAACAATTTCAAACTCATTACCCGGAGGACAGTATACACAGAATATTCAAACATGTCATTTAAATGACATTCGCAATCCCAACTATCCCTTCATCAACGAACTCATTGTCCAAAACTATCGATTTTAAACTTTTCCAATTAAGATTTTTCCCCAACAACAAAAAAAACACTCAACATTGCTCCACTTTGTCTCTTTGTCCTTTTATAGTGCAATAAACCCCCTCCTACGTATTGTCCCTTTAATTCCATCACTTGTAATTGGTCGTTAAGTCTACAAGTCAGGTATTTCCGTATTTTCCAATTCTCGACAAGGAAAACATTTCCTCAATCGTTCTTTTCATTAATGATAAAAAGCGTAACAATTTTCTGAATGACGTTATTGAAATCAGATAAAACTCCTCCATTCACGCACAAACATCCGGTCCTATTGACACTCGCATCAGATAAAAGAATACAAAAATAACGTAAATGTTCCATCACCCACGCGTCCCGGGACTTGACGCCAATCAAAAAAAGTGCTATTGATTTTCTCATCGTGAATTTTTCTTCGCGTGTCCGGAAACGCCAGACCTAATTCGCAATTTGCCCGGCGATTATCTTAAACTGCCGCGTGCGTATACATACATGAATATTTAAGCAAAAGCCGTAATTAAAACAAGACGACTCGTGCCCTAATTGATACTAAAAATGGGACGCGATAAGAATAAAACGAAATTTTCGCAAAGTTGCGTTTTTTCGTGCGCCAAGCTTGAATATTCACAGAGTTCACATTTAATTTGTACGAAAACGCGATCCGCCAAATTAAAATTTCAAATTTTACAATCAAAGGGAGCGCCGAGACTTAATCCCGGAATCTTAAAAAGTGCATCTGCATTTATATTTAACATTTATTGCTTTCGTACCCTTTCATCTCTCAAGCAACGACTCAATTGAGAATTGAGGAAATAAAACACGTTTTGGTGGATGCGCCGGGCGAAAACTGATTTTTTTTTCGCTCCTCTACTATTGATTAACGTGCGTCCACTTGGTGATAATGAAAAATCAATGTCTAAATCGGTGCGGTTCTCCTCGGAGATTAGTTGCACCTTGTATAGGCCAAATTGGAACAAATCCGGTGCTTATAAATAAAGAAAGTCCGTGCGAACGGATTTAGAGGGGCTGAAAGGTGAGTGATTGATGGAGCGGTTTTCTCTCCACTTTTTTTCCCTTCATTCAATTCAATAACAAGTTAGAGGAAAATCGTGCAACATTCGCAAAACTTTGATAATTAATAGTTGATAGTAGTTGTTGGAATTGTTGACAGTGAGGAGGTACTTTGGGGAAGCAAAGTTTCGCTTTGAATTTGTTAAGGAAATAAGCGACGTGGCTGAGACGACAAGCCTTGATTATGGAAGATAATTACACGACATTTGATTTTATAGCCCAAGGGAGTTTTGTCAAGAATCCGATCAAAGTTAATTATGATCGTCAAGTCCTTAAAAAGGACACTAAAATCTAGCCAAAATCGTTGCAAAATCAATTTCCGATTAATTATTTCGCCAAATTTCGTTTTAATCTTACAAGTAAATCACCGAAATTAATTCGAGATCGACTTTTAATTAAGTTGGAAATTTAAATCCTGCAAAAACCACTCGTCGCCACAGCGAACCGTTTTAATTAGTTCAAAATCGGAAAAAGGTTGGCATTTGTGTCGGTGGTTCATTTGGGCGTTATTTAATTTAATTAGAACCGCATTATTCGCCAGCAGAGATAACAACGTTCTCCTTCAAGATCAAAGCAAACACACACGGACTTTATCTTGCTTGCGTTTGTCATAATGTTTTGTTATTTTATTGTTTAATAAAAATATGTAAATACTTGCTCTGGTTTTACGAGATAATGAGAATTTTATCCCTTCCGTTTAATAAATAATATGGGACGAAAACGGTCCACTATAAAAAAAACATTTTATTTCGCTTTTCGTTTTTACTCTAGAAAAACAAAAAATAACAGTGTTGTTATTGTTTCCAAACGAAAAAAAAAACATAATGCTTAGGTATATTTTTTAGAGTAAATACACGATCTTATTGTTCTCAAACAACACACAAATACACTGGCCGCCAAAATTAACCGAATAACTAAAATTTTGCGATTTTCCACATTGCAATATTTTATTCTTTGTCGGATTTCGATGAATTTTTGTTCGGCTTAAAGAAGGAACTTGCAGAATATTGTAATTTAATTCAATAACATTTCTAGTTTTGTCTTGTAAATGTTATACCAAAAAGACGAGAGCGCTATTTTTTTACTTTTTTATACTGAGTTTTAGTGTGCAACAGAGACAAAATTAAGTTTTAACTTATTTCAGATTATTGCCCGTTCTTTTTTGAATGAGGACCAATTTGTTTCAAAATTTTATTTTCTGGTGCCCCATTGAAAAAGACGTTGCTTTTCTAATGTTACTAAATATTCGTTCAGAAAGGTAGTTAAACCGAAAATTATTGCTTATGTCACCAAAAGATTACACAATTACGTCTTTGAACACAAAAAATCCGAAAAACTTGGAACTTCAAAGGATTACAAGTTAATTACAAGGTTAATTATTGGAAGCTTCCACGCGCCTATTTTGACGTTTTGGCACATTTGGCCTACTTAATACGAATAATATTCATTGAAATTGGAACTGTAATGATTTTTTGAAGGTTTTTATATCTTTCATGTCTCAAGAATTAAAATTATGGAAAATGTGGTACATAATTCAGAAAAGAATGGGCAATAATCTGAAAGCAGTAAAAACTTAAGTTTGTCTCTGTCGCACACCACAGCTCAGTATAAAAATAAGTAAAAAAACAGTGCCCTCGTCTTTTACACAACACAAAACTAGAAATGTTAAAGAATTAAATCACAATAATCTAAGGTACCTAAGCCAAATAAGGCCCGGTGCTTCTTAAAAAGGCTCACCGTTAATTTTTCGTCTCAATTGTGAAGAAAATTAAAACCATCTAGCCTACGTTGGACCTCCAGCCATGTATCACCAATCATACAAGTTACTCCTAGATATGTCTTTTAGTTCATTATAAATGGTGAAATATGTTCTAAACTGATGCGTCATCGTATTGGATGTTAAAATTAAATATTTCTAGTTACATATTCATACATGTTTTGAAGTTTCTTTACTTTTTTTGTATTTTTTATGTTGTTTTTTGTTTGTTTAGTAAAGATTTTTTCCTTAACTTACTGTTAATACGATTAATGAAAAATCCTATCTCAAATTTTAAATATGGGCCTTATTTAATGTCGATGGTGGGCCTTATTTGGGGCTAGGAGGTTCCAAAAAAGGCCCTTTGTAATATTTTATATTTATGTTAAAAACATGTGGAAAAATTAACAAAACAGGCATTTTTGTGGTACACATTGTTAAACAAAAGTTCAAATTACAATTTCGATAATAAATCCAAACCTTTGCATGTTTCAAAAAATATATAAAAAACCGCAAAAATTAAGTAGGCCTTATTTGGCTAAGTTACCTACAGTTTTTTTAAGCTAAACAAAAATTCGTCGAAATCCGACAAAGAATAACAAAAATACATTGCAAAATTTTAGTTGTCCGGTTAATTTTGGCGGACAGTGTAATATGCCGAAATTTGAAAATCAGAAAATGTACAAAAAATAAAAACAAAAAAGTAAATAAAAATCACGTTTCCCAACATTAATTGTTGTTATTTTTTGATGTTTTGCATCAACTTAATTTTTTGTTAATTCAATTTTGCTTTTCATTTTATTTGTATAAATTCTGCTTGTTTTGTGCTTTATGGCCTCATTGTTTCAATGCTTTTAGTGGCGCCCTCAAGTCCTGAATCAGGGCTACTATTGCCCAAATCCGGCAAGTCAAAACGCAAACAATAAACGTCGTCATAAATCGGTTTTCGCGTAGGTGTAGTTAGGTCATAAGGGCGTTGTTCGTAGCTCGTTATTCACAAAGCTGTCGTCGTACCCTGCTAATTAATGGCGTATATATATGACCTGTAATTTAGTATTTATTGAAAATTTAATAAAGGTTAGATGAGACTTGAACGAAACGCAATGTTATTGTTCGCGAAAAATCTCCTGACCTAGATTTCGGTCAATTCGTTGCGATTTAAAGCATCGTCAGGGGTGTGGTTTGTACGTTGACCTGAAAAACCGGCGTCGGCCGGTCTGGCCACCCCCGGGGAGCGGCGTCGGTGACTCACCTGCCGCTCGAGGTGACTAATTTAAATCGAGCTCGTGTTTGTTATTATTGTTATTTCCGGTTTCCTCGCTCAGTTTATTATTAAACCTTGATGGGGGGTGTCGAGTTAAGCGGACAAACGTCGTTTGTTTAACGAATTAGTCCTCTGTGTTTTTGGCGGGAGAACAACGAGAGGAAATAAATTAAATTGGTTGTAAAGCGGCCGAATGAGAGGTGGTGGTGGTGAGAAAACGATGTCGTTACGTTTAACGAGACACTCACCGTATCTAATATCACCTTTACCGGCAGGTATGTTCCCGTTGGGCTCCAAACGGTCTAGGAACTCATCGCTGTAACCGTTGTATGGAAGCTTGCCGTGGTTGTGATGGTGCTCTTCGGACTCTTCCTTCGAAACCGCTGAAACAAAAATCAACCATGAGCAAAGAACATGAGAATATTCATGGTTTTATTACTACCACTTGTTCTACAGTCTCTAAACTCCTTTTGGAGCCGGAAAAAAATCTTTCAAAATGTTTATTTAATGATATCGGTGGTCAAAAATGGTTTCTAACAATTTAAGGGCCAAGTAGTTAGCGTTTTTGTAACTCACTGGAAGAACTTTTGGTTCTACTTAAAGATACAAATCTGAAAATTCATTTTAGATCCTTTGCATTATTTTTGTTCTAAATTCTTGAAAATATCTGTCCAAAATACAGTTTATCGCCCTTATACTACATGATTTTAATAGTTGTGCTAAAATTTTAGTAGGTCCAAAGAAAAAATAAGTCAACTTGCTTCGGAATGTTTTTAGTTCCTGCATTTTAGTAGTGGAAAATTCGTCAAAAGAATGCAATATAAACAAAGTTTGCATTTTTTAAGTACCTTATTCCAAAACTTACAAAGTCGGTGACATTTGAGGTAATGCAATTAAGTGGTATTTTCTACAAAAAAATTTGATACAAAATTTTTACCTTTTTATAATATGTATATGGAACCATTTTGTTCTGAGGATGTTTTTGTTAATTTTAACTCAGTTTTTATAAAACAATGAAACTACATCAGAAACTATTAACATTCGGATAAAGCAAGTTGAGTTATTTTGACTTTTTCAGATCTGTACTATCACCTCGTAACTATTAAAATCACCCTGTATAACAGTTGTAGGAAATAAAGAAATGATGAAATCCACCTTTGTACGGTTAAAAAACTCGTTTTGTGACAATCTTATGTAAAAGCAAATTAAATATTCTATTATGATAAGTAGGTTTCAATTTATTGAATAATCGGTCAATATTTTGTAAAGTTTTAACTATTTCGGGAATTGTAAAAACCTTTTCTCGGCAATCCGCGAAAGATTAGAGCGTCCTGGAACCGGAACTAATTCAATATTTAGACTTAGAAACAACAATTTGTATTATTTTGGAGATTCATAAAACTATCGCTTTAAGAACTGTTGCCAATTTTTGGTTCTAAAATCGAACAAAACAACAGAAATAAAACTAACAATAAAAAAAAAGTTTGGATGTAAAAAAAACGAAAAGTTCAGGATTATCAAACCGTAAGGGTTGTAAGAATACAAAAAAGAAAAAAAATAATTGTTTGGTAGAATTGCTCATTTACTCGTATTTAAAGTTTCTTTTAATAATAGAAAAAGAGGACAGATTTCTAGTATTTATCGAGTTAATGGTCAATATTTCTTACGTTTTTTTACATTATTTCAGGCGCTAAATCCGGAGTCGACATAAAAACCTTTTCTTGTCAATCCGGGACAGATTGATGCGCCCAGAACCGGAAGTAGTTTAGTATTTAGACGTAGAAACAACAATTTTCATCATTTTTGAGATTCATAAAACTATCGGTTTGTGAACTATTGCCAATTTTTGTTCTAAAAACGAACAAAACAATGAAAATTAATCAAAAGAAGTTTGGTTGTAAAAAAAGGAACAAATCCTTCTTCATTAATTGGTTATTAATCTGTAAAGGTTGTAAGAATCTAAAAAAAATAATAAAAAAATTGTTGGTGGAATCCGTCTTTATTTAGCGTTTCGTTTAATAATAAAAAAGAGAACAGATTTCTAGTATACACTCTATTACGAAGAAATTTCAATCTTACGTCGCTCTAAAAAGCAATTTTCTCCCTCCTCTCGCATGATTAACGACATAATCCCCGTTATCACCCCGTGTACCCCTTCCAAAACAGAACAAAACAAAACTTACAAACGCAAAACTCCTCTTATATTACAAGCGTCTCGACGAGTTTCCAACTAATTTCGCGAAAGGAAAGACTGTCACAATTAACGATCTTATGAAGACATCAAAGAGTATTTCTACGTGAAAACGGGTCCAAGATCGAGTTTCGAGTCTTTATCATTCGGCGATGCGCTCCCGGATCGATATAGGGGTCACAGTACTCGGGCATCAGACTCCGGGTGCTAACCCGGAGACGACATGTAGGTCACAGAAGTCGGACTTGCTATGAGATGCGCACTTTGCGAAATTAAAATTTTGCAATTAGGTTGATTATTAATTTGAGTTTGGGATATAATTGGAGTGGAGACACACGCAAAACCGGAGTAATGTAATTGGCGGGCTCGGCGAGCTTGCCCGTCAAAAAATACGCCGATTCCGGTTTGTCACGTCCAACTTTTGGCTTCCCCTCATCCAAACTCAATTTAGCACGCGTTTTCCCACATTTTTAAAAGTACACACTAATATTTCAGAGTCGGAATGAGTTTGTGCGTTAGACAGACAGCGAAGGTTGATTTTATAAGAGAACAAGACACTTACATCCCGGAAAAAATAAACGGAATCGTTGGCAGAATCCTGAGGGAGTGTGATACTAAACGAACATTCAGGTGGAAAGTAAAAAATCATCCCGATATGTCAGTGTCTCCCAGTCTATTCTTATCTCGCTTTCCGTGCTGCATTATTAAAAACGTCCGAATGAGGAACAAAATAAATTCTGAAACACCCTTGCGAGTGCGCCTCTTAATTTCCGCTTTTATTTATTTCTTTTTTACAAACTTTTCAGCATTGAGATGTATCCATTAGACCCTTTTCAAGCCGCGACATTCACAAATCGTCCACATAATTGAATCTTTGCTTAAAAGCGATCCGTCACGACGTCGACGTTAAAAACCGGGAGAAATAAAAAAAATCCAACTTTTACGTGTCGATGACTGTTTCATCGTCCACGGCTCGAGTTTTTATTTGCAGATTGCAGCTTACGTGATCCGAGCTTGCAGCAGGGAATTTACAGAAATACTGCGACAAGTACGTGACTTTAATGTTTGCTGCTGGATCATTGTGGCCAAAACTAGAATCACACTTTTTCAGCGATTCACTGAAAGAATTTCGAAGCCCGCCACTCATTGTTTCAAACAAAAGCCTTGAAATATCATGAAAGTGACTGACGATAATTCAGTGCTTAATTTTCTCAGACATCTATTTCGATGGGGTGACCCTTGAAAACTTTCACTCGTCGACTTTCAGACAAAAGCTTCCCTCGTCGAAACAATGAGACCGGAGAAAATCCCAAATCCGTGCTTATTGTTCAAAACGAAACGACATTTGTTCGCCTCCGTGAAACATAATCATATTTTGTTAACTCACTCATGCCACTAAAATTTCGTAATGAGACGCAAGATGAGTAATGGACAAACAACAGTCAAGGAGAAGATTTATGACGGAAATAATAAATGTTACAATAATTTCGAGAATCTTGAATTATAAAATTTGTGAAAAATGCCTCGGACCATTGCAAATCCTCCCTTTTCGGCAGACAATGCCCCACTGGAGCTTATTCTCAATTACGCGAAAGCCATCTCCATAATCACCAATTTGCATTGCTAAACACCTCGCCCGAACAAATTTATCCTTGCAGGACCTGTAATTGAAATAGTGAAACATCCTGTCTTCATACAACAAACCAGCATCGATATTTCATCTCAAAGTCGGGTTATTTATCTCCCCGGAGCCCCTTCGTGGCCTCATCATTGTGACATGTTATTTCTTAAAAATCCGGGATTTAATTTAGGCAACATCGCAGACGATTATTAATTTCCAACACGTGATTAATCCGACAACCCTATCTTACAATGCTCAATCAAGCCGATAAACGATGCACTCTCGAGTAAATTATTACGAGATGGGAGTTGAGATTTCACACTAATCCGAGATAATGGAGTCATGGAGTCGGAATTGTGATTTTTTTTTTTCAATTTAGAGAGTCTGTACATTTTTTAAAGTTTTATAACAGTCTATTCTCTTCATACTTTGAATTATTCAAGAGGGTTTCCCATTAAGCCAAAGTATGGAAACAGATCGTGTTATGCAAAATACATAAGTGCATATTTTAGAGGGTGGGAAGAAATTGGATTTCGGTGGTCGGCTCAAATTTCCCCTCATTAATTACTCCAAATAATAAATAAATCTCCACTGGTGGCATTACGCCAAACAATTTTGTTTTAGTTTAAACAAAATTAGTTATTTTCGGATGACCTGTTGAGCCCAACCATTGGTTAAATTGCTTCGTCTCGTCTGAGACAAGATCAAGACCTCGGAGTCTAGCCACAATATGCAGCTGTTCGAATCCGCCAAAGTACTCGTAAACCATTTTGAGAGGGCAATATATTCGAAATTTATTAAGCATGTATAACTTGCTTCCCGTAAACAATAAACTCCTTTACGATCGTAATATTTCTCTTAAACTGCTATTAAGTGAAGGCTTTTTCTTATAGTTCTTCCTGAACGGACGATTAGTTTGTAATCATTCCGGACGACACCGGAGCCGAATTTTTATTTTTAGTCACAATTAAATCGACTCGGTGTTTATTTGCGTTGTTTCCCCTTTTTATCAATCGAGTATGCTAAACAAAAACTAATCGGAGGGTTGAGACCCCTCTTGAAGCTTCTCCAATCATCCAAGACAAATATTTGCCGCTTTAGAGTCCGATAAAAGTGATTCCGGGGGTCGTAAACTTAACATGTTATGTGTTTTATGATTTAATAGGGGCGGAAAAGGGTTGAATAACGCGGTTTCATGCATTATGGATGACTAATTCACCCGTAACATGAATCATGTAGTTTTTAATTAAAATAAGTTATTTATGAAATAAAAAAACGGTAATTTGTTTGGTATTTCGTTATTTTCCTTGAAACTTCCATACTGAAACCGCCACTCCGGATCGAGACAAGAGAGCAAACATTCCCAGCGGTATACCGGAACGGAAGTTGGAACTTTCAAAGGTGACATTAATTCACTATAGTGTTTTATACGGAGTAAACACCGCGATTACGTGTAATCCCACGAACGCAATAACGGGGTGTTTGTAAAGCCTTCCCTACAACAGCGAGCACTTTCTCTCGCGCCCCGGAGCCCGGAAAAAACAACGCTTTGATTTTTCGATTTTACAATA